ACCATTTTTGAATTTAATTACACCAGAAGCCTTTATATTTCTGTTTAATAAAGATAAAATATGTTTTGGACGCTCAGAATTCTGTGCACGGATTAATAAAACCTTTGGTACGCATGTTCCAGTCCACGTTTCATCGTAAGCTTGACCATATGCTGAGGTGTTTCGTTTTTCTTTTGTTGTTTTTTTTTCGCTCAACACACGAGGCCATATGTAATCCACGAATAAATGTGCAGTCAGTGCCCTTCCACGTGGCACTACGGAGAAGAGTGCCCGAAAGCTGTCCATGAACGTGCCTGTCATGATGTTGTAGTTGCCGTAATTTCAGGATCAAAGAGACTCTTTTCAGTTACTTGCGTGTTGCGCCACTCCCTGTCGTTCGCAGCCAGCTACCGTCAACTATGATTAGCGCCCCAAGGTCCGGTACAAGTCACTGCGGCAGCTCTGGGAACCCTATTTTTCACATGGAAAAACTAAGGGGCGCGTGTCAGTTTTAGAGTATCAAGATTGCTAATTTTTAATGTAACTATACTTTGATCTTATTGGTGCGAAGAATAAATGTTGCCAGTTAACACAAGCTTTCGTCGATGTTCCGGGCTAAAGATGTAATAAGTGCTTTGCGTTGTTCTGCTCGCTAGAAGTAGTTTCAGAACAGAGGAAAGCGATACCGCGATGCCCTCCTTGCAACATGTATGCCGCTCAAATAGTCTCATTTTGAATCTATAACTCTCACAGACGATGCGCGTCTGCCCTAAGCACCAAAAATGGTGGTACCCAAAAGCCGCTGACGTGTGACCTTGTGTCACCGGGCGCCAACGGACGAATGGCCGTCGTGGGAAGTCGGACAATATGAAAAAGGGGTGTCTATACCATGATTGTAGCCTTCTGGTGACTCTATGTAGACGTTTCTCAGCAGGACGAAAATAGAGTGGAGTCGTAGGGCTATATGGGACTTTGTTTCTATTTCATCAAGTGGAAGCTTTGAACGGATTAAAAAGCGATTGCTTCGTCTTATCTATGACAACCGCGTTCTGGTCATAATTGGTAGTATGCTCACGTTTAGCTGTTGTTACTATACTCACGTTTAAATTTAGTCAAGATATAACTGGAACCCCGTTCTCTGTTATACTGTTACCTCTACTGAATTTGCCTCGCCTCTAGGTAACGTAGGTTAAACTTCTCAACAGTCATTCCTTTTCAGTCGTATCATCCCTGTGATGCTTGCCATTGTAAATACTCCCGTATCAAATTCACATCACTGCACAGTGTTCTATGCTTTTATTAGGTATTATTTTACTTTTGTGTTTTCCTTGCTTAAATTGCCTTGTAAAAATGCTTATTTGATATTTTTTCTTATTTTGCCCAGTGCCAGTGTCTTACTGTGTTGATGTGCATTTGATTTTTCTGTATACTTTGTGCAGTAAGGGTGCAGACCTATACAAGTTATTTGCGACTTTTTGATACCATTTTTTGTTATGCAATGTTCGCTTTTCTTCTGAGCTGGTATGAGGTTGGCTGAGTTTCTCTCTCTGCCTTTTCTGCCTGGACCACTCATTTGGTCTGGAGTATACAATAAGTGAAAATAAGAAAAAAATTGAGTTTTATATTAGACGATGCGGCGGATATAATGTCTCCGTGTAAGTTAACTTATCATTAATTAAACTGACGTACTTTTTTCTGTATTACCTGTTAACAGATAATATCTACAAGGACTCGACTTTTTTGTCGAGTCTCTCATTCATACACGAGTGTGTCACTGGTTTCACGATTTCCGTATATGTGCATGTGAGCACGACGTTTTCGAACAATTTTATTTTGTTTCGGGTCACTGAAATCGTTACCTGATTTGTACACTTAAAGGGGCGATTTAACGGTATGCCCTCCGAAAAAAATTGCAGTTTTTAATAGTTATATTGTTTATCTAACCCCAAAGCAAGAAGAAACCGCCTCATTCTTTAAAAATATCGCTGTTCCGCTGCGTAATAGCAAAGCAGAGAACAGGAATACTTCGCGATTTCCAGCTGCGAGGTGGCGGGGCCTTGAGAACCAAGGCGTGACGCCAACCTGGGTGAATTGTATTAACTTGGTAAAACATGCGGTTATATATTAGGTGTAATGCTATGATTTATAAATATTATCGTTTCAACATGAGTAAACACGTCAAAAGCCTCATATAATCGACAAAATTGTACTACATTCAGTTTTAGCGGTGCCATCTGCCCGACTTGAGCAAAACCCCTCCTGTGTAGTCTAACCCGGTTTCTACTACGTCAGCCAGACTTACGAAAAGGCATGCGCTTCGCCCCCCCCCCCCCCCCTTTCCCGTCCTTGTCCTCCTCTTCATTTCTTGCAGACCAACCTTCAAGGTCGCCAGGTCGCCATGTGAATCGCAACCAGAAGCAACGCACGCTTGAGGCACTGAAAAAGAACCCGACCTGGTACTCTGTTCCCAGTGCACTCGGCAACACGTCACTCCCCACGTGACTCAGAAGACGGCGTAAGAGTTGAGAGGGATCGGAAGACATCCAAAACTTCAGTTGTTCGAGCTTTCTTCTTTTTTTAGAAACACTAAAGCACACAGGTAAAACTGTATTTTAGTTCTTCAATCCCAACGTGACAGGGAACAACTCCCACAATTATTTCATCAAGTTTAAAAATGGTTGCGTGGCCTCTTTCCGAAAAATTGAACAAGTAATTTCCCATTAGAATGACAAATGTTCAGTTTGAAAAGGAAGCAGCATGTGACACTACACTCAATAAATGTTTATCACATTGGAATGTAATTGTATCCTTTGCACATCCTAACGTTTATACAAGTCTGCAGGCTCTGATGTTGGCCTTACTTTTAAGTATATTGTCAAATACCACCACTTGGTGCACTTGCTCGTCACTACAACTTGGGCGTTGTGATTTTTTTTTTTTTTATGTTCAGAGCATTTGGATGGGGTTTAAAAATAAACCTGTTTATGAATCCTTTCTTCGAGATTCCTTCGGCGCGAAATCGTGCAGGGCTACCGCGCCATTTTTCGGAAAAGCTGGGGATCAGTTATTCCCCATGAAACTCCCAAGAGTTGTCTCGCCTCTGCCGCTGGACTGGCATTGGATCATTCTTATTTATTGTATATAATAAGTGTCTACTCAGATTTTGTGCCTCGATTCGAAGTTCGCAAAATCAAACATCCAGACTTTGACTAAGGATGTTTAGCAAAAGTATTTCTTCAACCAATGAAAAGAACCCGTTAAATTCTGTGTCGTAAAAAACGGGTCTACAATGTAACATGACCTAATAAATATTTAGAATAAACGCCAGCAAGCTCCTCTTTAATAATAATCTCTAGTTCAGTTGCCATGCAAAAGTTAGGAACTTCAAAATACCACCTCCATCGATGTCAAAGAAAAAAAACTTACATATTCACTACCAAGCGCACGCTATCCCAGCCACTCCATCAAATGAACATTTCCGTAGATAACGCAACCATTCTACACGTCACGTGAAACTCGCAAAGCCTGGGATTGGCTTCGCTTGCTGCGAGGGTTCTCAGCGGTCCATCGTAAGTCGAAATAGACTAGAACGACATGCATAAGCTCCTCGTAGGAGACGGCTCTCGACTCCGGTCTGAGCCGGCGGCGTTTATCACCGTGTAATCTAGTCCGGATCGAGGGATTCCCAACCGCTGGTTTCTGAAAAAGAAAAATTAAGTCCGCGGGAAGGCGGGGGACTTCGGTCCTTTTCTCGCCCACTTTATGTTGATATCAGTCGTTTGTTTTTATTCTGTGTATTATTACTTCCAGTTTTGTTACCGCTAGCTTTTTTTCGATTGTGGCACTGCGTCAGGCGGGTCGGCATTGAGCCTTCCTCCAGCGAATTGGACACGGCAGGCTCAGAGGTCAGTGACCCCCTCGGAGACCCATAACCGTTTGCGTCTTATCTCTCCCTCCACCAATTCCGATCGGGGCATTGGGTCGTCCTCGAACTTGGTACGAGCGTTGGTATTGGGACACACGTCCTTCCACGAGTGGAACACTGTGCGGCTATCAGATTACCCGTAGTAAATCAGAGGCTTTTTTTCCCTGCTTATAAGGGTTTATGTTATTTACGCGGCTCTGTACACTGGGTTCGTGAATGGTGGATGATATTGCGAAGGGAGTGGGTGTCTCGACGGAAACTGTCTTGCTGCTATCCTGATAATGGCTCTACTCAAAACGATCAAGTCTTTTGAAAGTGATGATCAACGTTTTACGCAAACGCGAGCAAAGCGTCTGCTTGTGTTCTTGGAACTATCGGAGATTATTTTATTTTCTGAGTATCAATTTCCATGTGCTTGGTAGATTCGTGCTTTGTCATAACTTGTTTTTGGAACATGATGGTGAACCCCGAGATTAATGTGAGGCTGTGGCCCAACCCCGTCTTGAGGTTTACCATCATGTTTAGTATACACCAGCGCGCCTGCATTTTAAGGGTTTATTTTGTAAAGTATCACTTGTTCTTAGCATAAAAAAGCAAATTAGATAAAAACATGTCAAAAGTGCGCTAGAAATAATTGTCAATCAGCAGAGTATCCTTCATAAATGTTACCAGGTTTTTTTTAAGACTATTGTACCGTCTTGAATGTTGAATTATTGCAAGTAATTTTTTCGCAGCAGCCAACTGGGTATATTTTGTTTATTCCTTGTGTGGGGAAACGGGGGGGAGGGGGGGGGGGTATTCTACGCGAATAGCGGAATAAATTTCTTTTCTCACAAAAGTAGTTGAAGGCAGACTTATGCAGGCGCCCTACACTGTGCCTTTATAGTTGACCATGCTTCAACATCACAATTGGTCAAAGTCTTATTGCAACTCACAAATTAAAAGCAAGACGCGGCTTATTAAGTTTTCGCTGTTGTCTACATGATTTGTTTTAGGGTTTTCTTGATGGCTAACATTGAAATTTAATTTGTTCTGCGCGATAAGTAGATGCTGTTCACTTTACACGCCTGACGTAGGCTGTCGGTTAACATAGTGCGCGAAATTAGAGTCATTTTAACGATTCAACAAAAATCTGTTTTTTTTTCTTCTCACCTTTAGATTCACGCTTGAATGCTTGTTGGTTAAGATTGCACCTTCTCATCATGACCTACTGCGTCGAGTACAAGCCATTGTGCTTTAGTAACTATCTTTCTCTAACTATGACGTTCTTGCATTAGGTCAAAGTTAACGATGGTTAGATCCCTTGAGCCCGACGGTGGTGAACATTTTCCATTTTCTTTAAAATGGTGAAGTCGATGGAGATGCTGGTGCAGTCTTCGCAGTGCCTGTAGCGTCTGATTTCGAGCTCGGAAGATTCTTGGTTAGATTCAGAAGTCGTCGTCATTGACGTCGTAGTCATCCATGATAACCTGGGCATAGTGTTCCTCTATGACTCTGTCTGACGAATCATCGTCACCACGTTTCTTCCGCTTTCCAAGGTTGATAGGCGTCTGTCGTGGATTCTGTATAAAACGCAGACAACTGTTAAAAGCTTTTAGTACACAAGCTTCAATATACAATTTCTGTTCAGCCTTGATGTGCATAATCGAATGCAAAAACCTCTAGTTGCTTGGACTATAGCACATTGTATTCTAGAAGAACAAATATGTAACCATGCTTCACATAACTTAACTGCCATGGCTCGGATTATAAAACCTGAAATTCGTAAGACTCCAGAAGGTATAACCTGCAATTCAGAAGTATTCAGAAGGTATAATTAGTATACCCGAAGGACACTCTCAAGTGGAGTATAAAGAAAAGTTATCTAGAAATTGTCTATTTATGTTCATCTTGCAATTCATTTTGATATTATGTAGTTCTAGGGAAATTTTACTGCATTCCGGTTATGCGAATATTGTTGACTCGTAATGAAACACTTTAGATTTAATAAAAAAAAATACCATAGTGCCGGATGCTGCTCTTTATACTGGGCTTGAGATAGGTAGGATCTCTGAGATTTGCTAAGATAAAATAATAAATTTAGGAAATTATTGTATATAACTTAACCAAAACAAATAAGTGGTACTTACATCAATGCAAGCTGCGAGGATACAGAATGCTTCCTCTATTGTGATGTTTGAAGCGAGTGAATTCTGCAAGAGAAGCAAGGGTTAAACAAAGAAGAACATTGCTTTATGCACTGCGCTGGTGGTTTCCAAAAATACTTTTATGGTTTGTAATAGATCCGCAAATATTTGGTTATTAGATATCTCCGAACTGGTGGAATCATGTCGGAGCTAAATTAAAATACATACTGGCTAGGTGGTGCAAGCACCCGCCCGTTTAAAGGGGTTCAGCGGTTTGCATTCATCCATCTAGGGGTAGAGGGGATTATATTAGGTTCTAGTGTCTGCACGCGGCAATAAGATTTTACGAAGTGCTTCAAAAACTTCGGCGTGTATAAATATGGGGAATAGGGCATGCAGTCTTTCAGTGCTATGAAACCAATATGGCAAACGGATCATGCACTTTTTCGCCATTAGAACAAACCATAGATTCACACTGGCGAATAGATACGATCGGCCTATCAGGAGCAACATAAAATAAGACGAATGTTTCGTACATCCGGTAACTTCTGTTCGCCATGGTAGAAATATGGTAGGTGGGAGATACATACGGTCAATCACGGCCCTCAACAGAAGAAAAGTGCAGACGGGCTTCTCTTTTTAACAATCACGACTCGTCATGAATGTACTATCAGAATCTCATATTTTTGGCCAGTTATGGTTTCTCATGGGGGCAATGTTGCTACTAAGCAGTCTTTTACACATTACTGAAGCATAAGCGATCGATAACAATTACAGGTACTGTAGGTTTAAGTATGTTCAATTTGATTACTTGAGAAGAAGAGGAATGGGCCTTTACTTGAAAAAGGGAGCGTGACTTTTTCAACTACTTCTAAAAGCCACAAAATTTTCAGCCGGGTTGGAAACGGGTATTTTATACTGTTCAAGATTGAGTTAACATCACCGAACTATAAACTACTTATCATTTTAATCTACCAATTTCAGAAAACCATCCCTTGTTTGGAGACAAAATAGAAGATTCCTCGGTGGGAAACGTGTACAAAGGGCGCCATTAAGAAGGGAAGAGAATACTAGTATTGGTTACAAAACATTTTAGTACTTCCAAACGTAATCCAATTACTCCTGCGATTACTTTCTAATAAAAGTAATGCGAATATTTCAAAATTACTGAAAAGGTAACCAATGGGCGCCATTAAGAAGGGAAGAGAAAACTATTACCGGTTACAAAACATTTTAGTACTTCCAAACATAATTCAATTACTCCTGCGATTACTTTCTAATAAAAGTAATTCGATTATTTCAAAATTACTGAAAATTTAACCAATTACAAGAAATTGTATTACTTGTATGGAGTACCATACAATTCTGCAACTCGTCAAATCATGGCACGCAACGCGGAAAACACTGCGAGTAGGTCATATATTTGTCCAGTCATGACTCATTCGTTTCATATTACGGCTACCGTAACATTTTCTATAACTTCTTAAGGAACTCAGCTTTACGCCTTTCCTTTCAGCTGTTTCCTCCAGCTCAAGCGCTGAGTGATGAGTAAGCTTATGTGTTCTCATCCTTATTGTAATTTGACGGAATGAAACCTAAACTCTCAAAGCATTAGGACGGCTTATACGACAGTGTAAAACATTAACATTGTTATAACTTAAATGTTTTAATATGAGCACCACATTCTAGGGATTATTGGGGCTGGTTACCGAAATGATTCATACCAGACTTAGCTGACGCAGGTAGTCGCGACTCTCATTTTTTGTTTATGGGAGAATTGAGGTAAATTTTGCACATGACCTATATGGACTATAGATTTTAATTAAATATTGAACAATAAAAAAAAATGTATCTTGCTATACCTCGTTTCACCTCAAGTGCAGGGGCAACCGACGCTACGAGCTAATGGGACCAATCAGACACTGTCAAAAGCGCACCTTCAACTTGGTGTTCTTTATGTTCCTTCAAGTGTTCTCTTATAGCAGAACCAATGATAAGCGAAGAAATCCTAGTGACTTCCGCTTTTGACGTTGCATTACCTGGTAGCGTCGGCAGCGTCGGAATTTGAGCTTGATACAAATAAAAATAGATCACGTCGCTTTTTTTTAGTTCTTCTTTGAAACGTCATTAATCCGATGGTCTTTCATTAATCGTAAAAATAGTATTTGGAACACGTCGAACTTAATTTAGAACGCATTCAACATGAATTAGACGTGCACTGGTTGAGGAGCAAAAAATAACAAAGCCTACTGCACTGACGCACTTTTTGTTTTAGGCCTGAAGTCACATACAGGCTGAACCAACGTCGTCTAAGGCTAGCGTTGGTACCTTCATGTTTTTTTTTTCATTAAATTGCACACATGTGCGAATATGTCTGAATTTACTCTTACTTAGTGCGGAAATGTTCCTAAAGCCGGTAGAAATCATGGTCAAAAATATTACTCCGACTTAACACAACAAAGATATAACATAAAGATAGATGTTCGACGGTGGTGACCCTTCCGTGTCACCAACCGCAGCCCCCTACCGAATGTCTACGAGGGTATTGACGATAAGTAGTGGCTGACGGGCTCTAGCCTCATTCGTGCCAGTCCTTACTGAAGATGTCACATGCATAGGTGGCGAAACGTCTATATTTTTGTTAAATCTTTATTGTGTTAAGTCGTAATACACTTTTTAACCATCAGATTTGTGTTCACTATAACAGACGATCTTTATGACTATGATCGTCCCATCGTCACCTGTTTGGAAATTATTATTTCATGGTACACAATCTGGAGGATGTCTCTTAATTTGGAAGCTATATAATTGTAAATATCACGTGAACAAAAAAATATTTGGTCATGTTACTGTTCAAAAGATTGAGTGCACCTAGAAAAAGTTAAACGTTTCATGTTTCTAGTTATCTCAATTCCGTCAGATCGCCGGCGGAACAGCATTAGCTACGCCTCATGACGACCTTTTCAAAGGCTAGGCTTCCAAACATAGTCTCTGGGGGAATCAACGAAGTAGATTGCTTTTAACCACTACGTGAGACCAAGTCTTAATTGCCCAACGGTAGTTTAGGATCCGCATATCCAAGAAAACAATAAAACATGGGAAACGTACAATGGAAGGCTGCTTTGTTAATTTATAACCCATACAAATGGCTTGTGCTTCTCAGACAGCTATAGCAGACTGCCAGCTTTGAGTTCATTAAAGTGAGGGGTCGGGAACATAAACTAAAAGTTGTATACCTAGTCAATACTGACAACGTATAAATATAAAGCAGCAAACACGTTTAATATATTTAGCTACTACTCTTTTCTGTCAACGGTGAGAGAGTAAAATGTTTTGTCAATAGACATTGGTACAATTGCGCCTTTGTATTTGTTCTCATTCTAAATTCAATAGAAATAAGTTTCAGTTTTAATGTGCACTTGTGTATGTTTATTTTTCTATGTATATACGTCAATGAAAAACGTTTGTTGGCTTATTGATCAATTCGCTTCCTTGTTAGATACAAGGCGGTTTTTTTCCGCAAGGGCTATGATCCAACATCGGGATCATATTGAAAATGTTTTAAAACTGCCAATACTTTTTGAGCATTTTTATAAGCGAGCGGTATCAAAACATAAATTAATAAATAAGATTTCTGACATAAACACTCATGTATAAGTTAACATACGCAACATAATAAAATTTTCTTTGTTGAATGCCAAGCGTTCCTTCTTTTCATTCGGAAGCAGTACACCGAGAAGCCTAAAAATAAGTTCAGCATCAACAGCTGTTTCGTCATTTTTTGTTCGTCACGAACTCTTAATGTATTTTTCGAAATTTCCTTCTCCAGCAAAAGTGCCTGTCTCATCCGCACCCTGCCCTGCCTAGAAACAGCCAGAGGAGGAGCAGCTCTCAGAATATAAAAACATGTAACCCAAATCTTAAGTAATTGTTCACTATATTCATGTAAGCAATGTTTGCGGTTCCCGTAAGGAGATCAGTAAACATATTGTATTGTTTTAGGTGTGCTGAAAGTGTTTTCTTTAGAGTAGATTTTTTCTTCGACGGCTCCGAAATAGGTCATCTATATGCAAAGAAGAAAAACGAAAACCTTCACCGTCCCCCCCAGCGTTGACTATACATCGTTCACCCCTTAAGCTGACACTGCGGCACGATCCACGCGTTCGCCGGACCAATCACCTTCCTTAGTGTCATCACCTGACCCCAATCTCCGCACGTGGGTTTGAGCGAGAGCGTGATCACGTGGCGAAGTATTGAAGTATGATTGCTCTAACGACCACGTACCTTTCACCACACTATCAGCTTAAGGATGAACTAAGGATATGAGGTGTCAGGACCAGAGACGTGTGCGCCCGAGTACTTCGCTCGACTAGTCCGCGGTCGAAGGGACACGGTGCTTCCGGAAGGACTGTTTTCCGGAAGGACTGTTGGAGGAAGTTTCCGAGGCTGAGAACACGTGTTTGGCTGATCTCTCGGCGTGGGCAGCACTTACTCGGCCTTGGAGTTACAAGAGTCACAAGTCCCTGGAACGTGTATCCGACGGATGTGTTTACTGCGTCAAAAAAAAAAGAAGTGATCCCTTGATTTACGCCTTGTGACATTAGAGAAGTGTCACGTGATCCTGGCGGCGTCTCAGCAGTGGTGCTGTATGCGGCAGACGCCTGTTCTGCTGCAGGTCCCTCTACATGCTAACGGTTCATGGAAGCTTCGGCAGAATTAGGGTGGCGATGCCGTGTAATTGGTTCATACAATCAAAAGGCAAACAGCACGCAAAAAAAAAAACAGGGACAAAGTAGAAGTGCACACAGGACAAGCGCTTTTCCCGTGTGCACTTCTACTCTGTCCCCGTTTTTAACGCGCTGTTTGCCCCTTTTTGTCAGGTTTGGCAGCCAGGAGTTCGGACGCCTTCATGACAGCGACACGTCAGCCCGTGCTTTTCGCAATACACAGAAAGAATAAAAAACATGAAGGACGAACACAGACACACACCGTTCTTTCATCTGTGTCTGTGTTCGTTCTTCATGTGTTTTATTCTTTTTGCGTTTTCGGTTGTGTTCAACGCGCTCTGCTACGTGTCGTGCTTTTCGCCAGAATGTCGATGTCCAACTGCCAGAATCGCGACATCCGACAGCGTGATCACACCCTGGATTTGTGACGTCGTTTGTGGCCACTTCGCAACCACCTTCGATGCACGGGCGGAAGAGAGCGCTAAACACAGGAGTCGGAGCCGCGTTCCAGGTAGCGTACTATAATAACTGCCAACTTAAAAAAAAGGACAACGCAGGGCACGGTGTCTCTCGACCATCTTATGATCGGTCTGCTGACAGTAAGATTGCGGTATTAGAGAATTTTAGGGAACCGTCTTTACACATCCGACACGGTACAATGGGCCCTCTGGTACACACTGCGCATATCGGAGTTTTCTGTGATAGCGCATGCGCAGTCCGTACACATGTTAGTGTCGTTAGTTTCGTTTAAATCCCGAAAAGGCAACGTCATTGCTGCAGCTATTCGTGTCCCTAGAGGCGCGCCTTCTGTGCTCTAAGATGGCAGATGTTTCCTTCGCATACATAAAATAAGACTAGCGGTCATTGATTCCTTCATCAAAGTTCAGAATTTTTGTGATTGAATATGATCAATGAGATTTTGGGATGCCGTACTTACCTGCCGTGTGCAGCCGTTCACCTGTTGGAAAGAATTACATCGACCGATAAGCCTAGCTTATAAGGACGGGAAACTGAAAGAAATAAACTGACAGTGCGTGTTTCAGGAGTCTCCTGCATAATGCTTGAAACACTAATCAGTTTTATACTAATCAAACGATTTTGTTTTATATTGTACACATCCTAATTTATTGAATTGAAAAAGTCTATTTATCAAAAAGTATTCAGCCTATAATCACTGCAACCCAACTTAGAGTACTCGATCTTTTGAAACATTTAAATAGGGCTTGCAACATTTCACCGTTAAAACCTTTATTCATGTAGTTAACTTGATTTCTTTATTAGGGCTAAGCAATTAATTTATTAAGCAACCGATTATTCGACCAATGCTTTAATCACGTTTAATTATTTAAACCACTTAATCGCTAAATATTTTACAAACCAAAGTAAAAATTAGGCCTCTTTCACAACGCAGACGGGGACGACTCCACCTGAATAAAGGACGAACTTTAGGTAAAATGTCCACATAAAGTAAACTCTAGGGGTGAGATTTGTAAGTACAGACAAATGCAGAAGGCCACACGTACTCCGTCCTCTTCAATACTGTGCGAGTGTCCGTTTAATTGAGCAGAGAAAACCGTGAACAATTAAAGCCCGGGGAATATCAACGAACCTCTTTGCCTCATACACCTGAAGTAGTATTCTTTGAGTGTGAGTGTCTTTTAACTAATCTCAACTAGACATTCATAATCAAAATTTTATATTCTGCCGTTTATCGCATCCTCAACAAAAACAAAACAATTTTGACTTTTTGAAGATCGTGTCAATGGAAATAAACGACACTGACTATTCGATTAATTAATCAATTAAATTTTGATGATTAATAGGGTTAAAAAGTTTAATTGATGCCGAACCATATTATTTATCTAATCAAGTTATTCATTAGTGAAGGCAATGTACATTGAATGTCGTATTTGACATTATCATACTTTTTTTCTACTTTTAAGAAATTTTTGCTGTAAATTATAAGGGTGTTCACTCTTGGCGCTATTGACGCAATTAAATGGGGAATATTCGATTTAAGCTCAATCCGAAATTTGTTACGGGAATATTTATTTTATTTCTCCTAGAGCACTGTTAAATGTATTGCCAAGTTTTTTTCTGCTTCTGCAAAAGTGATTTTTTTTTTAAAGAACAAAGGGTTATCTTTTTTTTTTCTTCAAAACGTCGATTATATTTGAAAAAGATGACAACTTTATTTTTGATGAGACTTCAAGCTGCTTGCAAACAAAGCATCCAACATGCATGCTTAACATGCATATTCATTCTGATGTTTTAGTAAAAAAACTTTACTTACGGCGCTGTTGTACTTGGGCTGGTTACACAGGATGCATTGTGTCTATTAGAAGAAACAAGTGAGTTTAATAGGATTTGTCTCTTTTTCAAACGATTCTTCTACATTCACAAAACGCCTCGCAAGTTTTTTATTATAGTGATCCATAATATTTCGGAGCGGTGAAACGGAGTATGTTGCGTCTTGATTCCGACTACTGCGGTTAAAATAATTTGAACAAACCAATAGATTCTAAACCCCTTGTCACCTAAAAACAAAAGCAATTTTGCGCATTTTTCATACCTGGCGCAAAGTAGTTGTTACGAGATTTAGTTGCCGGAGGAAAAAGAGATACTTTTGTCGTTTGGAACTTGTACCTCTTGATAAGATAATATATATCTGATCTCTAATTCACTTACATATACCTTAACTCTCAACATAAAAGAGGAAATTAGTAATGCTCCGCGAGGAGCCGGACTACTTTTACCACGGTCCTTCAGGTGGAAACCAGTATAGTTACGATTGATACGCAGTTGGTTAGATTTGAGTGGGTAGATACATATGATGTGTTAGATATAGTATTTTGGTAAGTATGACTAATTATATGTGAAATAAACGAGCACAGAGGAAAATCACGCGTTGCGATATTGCAACATTGGTGTCTAGTCCATCTGCAGGCTAAATCACTCAGCTTGCAGATGGAAGGTTTCCCCTGCATGTTCGACACCATCTTCCTCAATATTTGTACGGAATATATAAAAAATTACGATACACTTTCGTGGCAAATGATAACATTGTCAATGAAGAAACTAATTTTTATTGTCCTTGTGAAGACATTTGTTAAATCCATGATCGCGTTCCATGTTGCTGCGCCGCTTCCGTGTATATCGCGGCGAACTTAAAATTAAAGTAAAAACTGGCGCCTTGGCTTGCTGGTTTGTTTGCTGACATCTCCAAACCTCGGCTACTATAAGCACATGCCGTACCAAAGGTGACATTAATCTTAAATTCTGGCAAATGCGCTTCGTGTTTTCGGCAAACTCGAGGAGGCGCACGCAGATTTCGCCCATTGTTCGCTTAGGCAATTTCGAAGAGCCTGCGCTTGCTTATTCTACTACTGATTTGTGTCTGGAGTTAAGAAACCTTGCAACTGCAGGAAACGTACTTGAGTAACAGAAACGTTGTAGCAACAATAACCCAGTTAGAATTTTTCTCGAGAAAGAAATAATGCAGACATATAACGACAAGACAAGACTAGAAAAACCCATGAATTCACGAAATCTAGAAATTTTGCAAAATCCTACCTGCGGCAACTGAAATTCATAACCTAAGCTACATTCTTGTGGAATAACTTCCTCCAAAATGGTTGCTTCTTACGAATGATTAACGTTTCCTACACCCTATTTCAATATGCGTTGCTAGGCCCTAATACCTTCATGTTTGGTTTTTAAGACAACCTCGCTTATTTTACTTGAACAAGAATCTGTTTCCCCTGCGCTAGTTTTTTTCTCAAGTTACATTACTGGAAAAGGAACTCCTCTATTTTGCCTAATTTTACAGCGACATTTACTTCGGTAGGTTTCTCGGAGATATTTGACTTCAGGACTATTTAGCATATAAGCAAGATGATCATCTTATTCTTCAACTTATCATGTGTTTTTTTTTTTCGTTTGCATCTTGGAATATGGTAAAACATGAGTTGGAGAAAAGTAAGTTATTTAGACACGCCTCATTTGAATTTAATCTGGGGATCATAACGTGTCCCTAGACAAGATGTACGCCCTTAAAAACGGCCAATTAAAAACGGACATCTAAGGTAATTCTTACCTGCAGAGAAGAGGCTTGAGAAAGCATGCAAAGCCGGACGTTCTGTGGGGCAAAAAAGATATTTTTTAAGCAGCGAAATGCCCCTCATTAGTGAGAAGCCATAAGTAGTAAGTTTCTATCACAGGAGATGGTTTGACGTGACAGAACTCCATACCTGAGATTATTTCTAAATTTACGACCGTCCTGTTGATTTCTTGAAGGCTTTTTCTTTCTAAGTGACTGAGTCTTGACTTTTGAACACCCTGTAAGACCGGTCGTACGGCGGAAACATCTTGACTTTTTTTTAATTTATTTATTACGGGATGTGTTTAACTTATTTGCATTTACACACACAAAAACAAAACTTACTTACCTTTACGTATTTGTTTTTTTCTTACTCGAGGGCTTAAGATATTCTGCGCAGCTTTTTAGCTATTTCAACTCCAAACACGCTTGCTCATGATGTTTGCTTTTAGGATTCAAAAACGAATACAACGAACAACTAAAAGGTTTGCAATTTCATGATATAAGACTTGTAAAATAATTCGCGGCTAAAAAAAAAAACCTATAATTCTAGATGGGACCGGCATACTGAAATTCATTAGTGGCGTATTTCTTTAAGGGGGAAAAAAGAAACGATGGCGCCCTCACAGCATAAAGTAATCTCGAAAACGAAGAAGCTGATTCCAGTTTAACCGGAAGCGACTCGAATCTCAATGCAGTGACAAAGGCAAAATGGAACGAAAACGTGAGCTGGCATCTCTAGCGATATCATTTGTTGTGAAATAGTATGAGCAAAAAATTCAATAAATGAACCGAACGAATTCTCACTGAAGATAGATTATACTTCATTGTCGGTTTTCAGTTTCCCAATAAGCCGATCAATGATAAAATAAAAAAAAATCTAGATGTACAGATGGTAAATAAAAGTTCTGGCACCACATCTCCGCGATCTATAAGAAAGAACAGCGGGCAATTTTGTAAATTGAAAACGGCGTGCTGTAGGGGGTTCGCGAGCGTAAATGAGAATGCGCGTTATCTAACCAACATTCGGACGCGACCTGCTGCGACCTCGAGAAAAAAAAAAGGAAAAACAAAAAACTACCTTCGACCAGAAGCACGTAGAGAGAATTGTACGCACGAGCAAGCCTGTTTGCAGTAAATTAAATTTTATTTTTTGAAGTTGTATATGCATTTTTGTTTGACTTGTTTCTAGAGTTCTGGCTTTCGGCACGCGTTACGGTCATTGCTGTTATTGGTGGCCGTAGAGCCTACAGTGCTTTCGCAGCATTTGACACTAGAATGTTGATTTAACCGTCAGTTACTCGTGGCGAAACAAAGCTAATAATTTAATACACCCTCTATATTCAAAGTAGTCACGTATCTACCACTCTGATAGAGAAGTGATGCAAGGAGGGAAAAATGTATCGGTAATAAACGTAACTTTTACAGTTTAAATCGTATTAAAATAGATTGCTTAAGTACTATAGATACCATTTGTAGCTGTTACGACCACTTCAGATGTAGCCGCTAAGTCTGTAGCTGTGACTTTGATAATTTTATTAAGGGTAATTCTCCGACTATCTCTAACCCCTGTTTAATATCTTATGTTTTCCTAGTAGTGGTTTCATAAATTTTTAATTAAAAACTTGCTCATACCAAATATTTATTTTTAATTTTAGAGTTCGTGCAATAATGTATCAAATTTCTGCAGCGAATTTCAGGAAAAATAATAACTACGTCAGGTATCTCTAAAGACAACATGAAGCATTAACTATGCAATGCAATTCTACAAATACATAAGGCTAGCCTACGAACTACAGCCCCACACTAAGCTGTGTTTTGCATTTTGTGTTTTTTGACATTATTTTTCAATTCAGAATTCTTAATGCCCAGTAATTTTATGTATTTTGCACTGTTCAGTATTATGTTTGCATTCACAGTTTAAAGTGAAGTTGTCGGGACCGAAAAGCATTTTATTGTCCAATAAATCTCCAAAGATATCTGAGAGCTTTTATTTGCTTTTATTTCACTCATTCAAACACTTACGTCTTAACAGATTTCATTAAATTTCGAAAAGACAAAACCTTTCGAGATGCTGGTAAACCAATTTCTTCAATTATGTCTCTTGATGTAGAACATCAGTACGGAATAGCGTCTATATCAGCCTAAGATGAAGCTTGGATGGTGAGTAAATTGAAACCTGGAGAATATGACACTTCAAGGACTAAAGGGAGTGAATAAATGAAGGATAGCCTAACTACACCTCCAATTTTAACGTGCTTATGTGTGTATATGTGTGTGTGGGTTGTCGGCAAATTAAAACGAACGCCGACAACAGGCATAACCTTAAACGCTTAGTGTGTGTGTGTGTGTGTGTGTGTGTGTGTGCGCGCGCGCGCATGCGTGCGTGCGTGTGTGCGTGCGGGGGGGGGGGGGGTCTGTTTGACTCTACTCACTTGTTGGTTGTTGTTTTTAGTCACTTTTTGCAACTGCATAGGCTGCGATTGCGAGCTCGTATATATAGCTTCAATTACATGTTTCCCATTTCAATCACCAAGCGACTCTAGTTTTCGCTGGTCACTTGAAGCGGTGGTAGCTCTCAGCTTTTATCATCCACGCATTCTCCGGTGGATGGCACCGCCTTCCTTGGAGGTACAAATACGCATAATTGTGGGCGGGTCTTAAAACGTTTTATCTGCTCCCAGTCTCGACATCGGGTAGGATGGAAGCAAAACAATCACTGTTGAATATATCAAAATATTTCTCCATTTTACAACTTTAAGAATAGTTTTGTATTCATTTTACTGTAAGTCAGAACGCAGACGACGCTACGAGTTTTTGTGCGCGTGTCGTCTCCGGCTATATGGATCAAGCTCATCAATGAATACGCCGTGAATTTGTGCTTTTAGTCTCCATGTTTGCATTTTTGTGTCTTTTAGTATTTGACAACGCTATGACTTACGGTAGAATGACTTATAGCAAGTACATACTTTAAATACTGGAATTTAGGCACGACCCCCTAAACCAGTACTTGAAAAAAATTTAATACACATATTTGGGTTACCAGCTAATTGATCAGGACATCTCCGCATTATGAAATGCCTTTTAGTTCGATAAGCTTGCGGTAACAATATTAGGTCGTAACATCGTACAATTTAAACATGCGCACTCATTGCAACTATTCGTGACTTTAATTATACACTTGGCGAACAACTCAATGTTTGAAACTCGGGAGGCCGATTAATCTATCACGTCAGGGTTTGTACTTAATGTCATCTGTATGAAGCCATGGGTTGAGAACGCGTAGTGGCGATGGCGAAGCGCATTACGCGATGGCTCTATGTTGAAGCGCTTTACGGGGTCCTTGGTTGTGTCTTGCATCCCTCTTTGTCATAGTGTATTCCTGATAGTTCGTAATATAACGCTCTACCGAACTTAGACCTAGGTGCGTCTTTTCAAGTAGTTATATATCATAATAATTTATATATTGTCGCAAACGCACGCGAGAGTCTTCGTATCGTGTTCAAGTATACGTAAGAAATAGAACGCGCATATGTACGACGAACACTCACCTGGTTTAGACCTCCGATAAAGAGAGCAGATACGACGGTGACCCAGAAAAATAAAACCAAGCTTACGGTATTCCACCAGCGAAGAACCTAAAGTAAAGTGAGAATCATTTTGGGCAATTGAGGGAGCTTCATTACTAAAGCGTCTTGCGCACCAGGATTCCCGTGAATGCAGGTACTACCTGAACGTGTGCTGACATACGTGAATAGCAAATATCTGCCCTTTCCTTGTTACACTTCAAAGTCGTCACGGGCCATCTGTTTTCAGCCCTTGCCCGATTCCGGTCTGCGTATAATTTCTAATTCTTTAGGCAACGCTCTTTCGCCTTTGATAGGAAAAATGTTTAGACATGTAATAAGTGAGCGCTTTATAGAAGACAACGCGTAGGCGAGATATCACAGACACTTTAAAAACTTGATGTTTCGTTCTGGGCAGGAAGCGTTTAGAGGCTATTTCCATAAAGAAGAACCACGTTTCAAATTGCACTTAAAGTAAGAGAATATTCTAAAGATGGAGAAACACTAATATTTTCTTTTTAGCTCTTGACTCGGATTATTAAGTCCATTCTACACTTCTGCCTCCAAGTTGTAGATATCTGAAGTCAAAACCAGATCACATGTGGCACGGGTGCCTGACTACCGCCTCTAGAGACACGCTGAAGTCCAGAATGACATATCTTCGTTGCATGGAAAACGAAATGTCTTACATTTTTTATTACACTTCTGAGCTCTCGATGTCCAAAAGTATTATTTCTAAATCTGCAGGGCTAAAGATTTGTTCTTGAGTAACAAAAATCGCTTAGGAAACCCTCTGTTCGTTGCCAAATATTGGCCCGTCTCTGCGCTCTCTAAGCACGCCCAGTCGTGAACTTTTGTTCAAATCAGTCGCTAATTCAATCCCTGCCATCCACATAGAATCAGAGGAATTGATTATGTTACAAATAGTCCTAAAAATGAAATTCGTAATGAGACGATGAGTATGACGTTTCACAATTCTCAATAACCTATCGCAACATCATTATCTCTGCGACAGTTTTTTTAAAAAAAGTAGACGCACTAGAATGTTTTAAAGAAGAAATAAACAACAATGCGACCACAACAATTCTATCTTTACTTGAACCTTTTGGAAAATGTAAGAGGAAGGAATTATATAATGTGCGAAGCTTGAAACTTTGCTTAAAAATATGTACGGCGTGTACTTTTGTCGAGATATGTCCTCTTCGGTGATCATGTAAATACTCAAATAAATACCTGTTTTTTTTTGTTTTTTTTTACAGTCATAAACTAAATATCAAGACTGTTTTGTAAGAAAACCACGAAAGGATCACACGTTCACTTACCTGCACTCTTCGCCTTAACGCCATTGCAATCCTGCTTTCAAATCCAAGACACGAGGCGAAAACACGTAGGTTTCGGCCGATAACTAACGTCCACTGCGTCTGCTTTCCCGAAACTCTCGATGTTTTTTGCGGTATTGAATGAAGCGACAAAGGACACGTGTTCCGGCTTTCGAAAGGTTGTGTTTTTTTTTTTGTTGTCCCTCGGTCCTCACAAAAAAAAACAAAAAAAAAACAGAGCCAGTGGAGGACGTTCTAAAATGGCCGCGTAGGTGACATCCGGACTCGTGGCGTGTTGTTGAGCTGCTCTCTTTCCGTTCCGATTGTGTTTAGGCCTGCTTCGACATTCGAATAAATAGCATCGTGCCCTATTTTACGGGCCCATTTTATGTGCGACCTCAAGCAGACCGTTTTGATTCGGATTCCCGTACAGACACGCGTTTTCCATGCACCCTTGAGAAGCTCAAGGCAGCGTGCGAGTGAAATGATGATCCGGAGGCTGCTACTCTGTGAGGAAAAGAGTTGAGAAGCGTAATTGATACCCATTTACCATAGGGCACCGCTTCTTGAATTTCACGTCGCTGCAGATTCCCCAACAGCCCTTGAGGTCATTCGTTGACCCATGTTGAATACGCGCTTACGTGACATCAACCTGTTTCATATATCGAGCGACTTACTTAGCCTGAATCGGTGAAAATATTAAGTGATCAAATTGGCTACGTTTAATCCGCGTTTAATTTCTCTGAAATCTCGCGGACGAGCCCTGACGAAGCGTTCTCGCAGTATAAAGCCAGGCTGAAAACATATATGGCGTGTTTCATTTTAATTCCAATCATGCAGAAACGCGGGAATGCACCAAAGTGATTCCTCGTGTAGAAGGCGCAAAGATAGTGTTGGGAAAGACGGGCGATGAGATTATCATCTGCTTTTCCCCACCGCTGTAGCTTTTCGCCTGCTGCACGATAGTGCACCCCTGATGTCCCAAATGCTTCAGGTTGTTCTAAAATCGACTGATTTAACGGTTTTCGATGAAGCCCAGCAAGTCTCTCATTAAAACTTGATGTATACTTTTACTAATTAAAAAGTGAATTAAAATTTGTTAATTCTTTTAATATTTCGTGAAATTAACCGCCTACGTAATGTACTCCTGATCATATAACGCACCTGCACAAACTGCATCAGGTTTTCCTCTTACGAATTTCTGTAATAAATCTGTTCGTATTCAAATGTATATAAGTGCTTTCAAAAAGTCTTTACCGCAAGAAACCCGCAAGAATCCACTGTTACTCGCGAAGCCCCCGTTACAGCTCGAAAGGTGTTCGGCCTGACTATTTTATGTTCTTCAGTGCCTTACCTTCTTTCGATGGAGCAATCACCCAAATTAGTGCTGGCCCTAGCTCACCGATGTCGCCGCGGACCCCTGGGGATCCACAGACCACAAATTGAGAACGCGTGCCTTAGGGGCCACTGGGTAATTATTGCACGGAGCACCGACATTTCTACATTTGTCGCATTTCTAGCTGTTTATTTAACAAACCCTTGTTATGAAAGACACAAGTAAGTGACTTCGCTTCTATCCTAAATATTCAGAACAAACTGCCGCGGCACTTGTCAACAGATAGGTTGATTTGTTTCTTTTTCCTGCTCTTGCTATATGAGTGACAGTGTTCGTCTCTACAACCGAGCGCATTCGTATTCATATTTTGTCTTACGTTTGGCAGTAAATAACAAACGAGTTTGCTGTCATTGTTCTGCTTTCCAAAGATTTATTTAGGCCAACAGAAGTTATCTTACATTTTTCTTTTCGCAAGATTTGTGTAATTTATGAATTTGTAAATGCGTTCTAGAATGTATAGCCAAAAAACAGAAATTCATTTTAGAGCGCAGCTTTTAGTCACCTGCTTCCGCGTATGGCGGCGTCGCCGTCGTCGTGGGCGTAACCGCGCGCTGTATTATGGGACGTCACGGACCTATACACCAATTAAATTCCCCGCTAAATTTAGCGAAGAAACTCGGTTGGTGTGTAGGTCTGTGATGTACCATAATGCTACACTGCGCATTCAGTTTCCCCGCTAAATTTAGCGGCAAAACTAACAGTCATATGTCCTCAACACCAATCCGGTTTCCCCGCTAAATTTAGCGTGAAATTTAATTGGTGTTGAGTTCATGTGGCGTCAGTTTTCCCTCCAAATTTCGCGGGGAAACCGACCTTGTGTATAAGTCCCATGACATGAAGTCATATGACGTCATTTTCTCCGCTAAGTTTAGCAGGAAAACTGAATTGGTTTTTAGGTGACGTGGCGTCACTTTTCCCGCTAAATTTAGTGGGGAAACTTTGACGTCATGTGACGTCACAGTTTTCCCATGAAGCCGCAACTCTCATGAAGCCGTGGCCTGTGACGTCATGTGACGTCACAGGCCACGGCTTCATAAGAGTTGCGGCTTCGCGAAATCCGGAGACAACTAGCCAAAAACGTTTCACGTTGAAACAAACACCGCGCGCGTTGCAGTATGGGGCAGCCTACCCTCGAGCAAAAACAAAACAAACAATATACAGGGTGTTCCAGAGAACGCATGCCAAATCGCTCCTGCGAAAACTACTCATCGCCACGAAAAAAGGCGTGTGGCGTTGTGATCTTGGGCCGGGTTCCCATTTAAAAAAAAAAGATTAAAGTCCGGGATAATTAACTTGTTAATTATTTTTGCCTAATTAACTTTTTTAATATTGCGTTTAAGGGCATGGTTTCAGTAAGGAAATTGCTCAGCATCATCGAAAACCACTAAACCAACAAATTGCAGAACGATAGAAAGCAAGCGAAGCATTTCACGGCTTTCTGAAAAACCGCACACATTCGACGGGTTTTTAAGTTCCGGTTTGTTATCGGAGCGCATCTCCGCTCCGGCAGCACCGCGTCCCGTGGAGAGATAGTGCAACCAGCCTCTGCTGCGTCGCGCGATGACGGCGCAGCGGAGGTTGGTTGCACTATCTCTTCGCGGGGCGCGGTGCCGTTGGGGCGGAGATGCGTTCCGATAACAAACCGAAACTTAAACACCCCTCGAATTGGTGCGGTTTTCAGAAAGCCATAAAATGCTTCGCGTGCCTTCTATCGTTCTGCGATTGGTTGATTTAGTGGTTTTCGATGATGCTAAGCAATTTTCTAATTTAAACCATGCCCTGAAACACAATATTAAAAAAGTTAATTACGCAAAAGTAATTAACAAGTTAATTATCCGGGACTTTAATCATTTTCTTAAGTGGGTCCCTGGCCCACGACCAAAACGCCGCAAGCCTTTTTTCGTTGTGATAAGTAGTTTTGGCAGGAGCGATTTGGCCTGCGTTCTCTGAAACACCCTGTATATATTTATTTCTCTCTCAAATTATGTACCATAGTACATCATAAAGCTAACATACCTCTACAGCTGCGCTCTAATTTCGCACTTCACAGGAGCGTAAACGTCTGTAATTATTTAGTTTCGTTTTTAATAAATAACAATAATACTGTTTAGACGTTTTTTCTTAATGTGATGCAACAAGTTTTTTTTTTTTTTTTTTACACGTGTGCATTTGTCTCAACCTGCTTTCGTTGTTTAAGACGCATTTACACACACGAAAGCCGCCAACAAGACCAGCTGCGTGGCATAGTATTCACTAATGAAGCTACTGAGAGATAGTTGGTAGGTATACACACTGTCACTCGCTTTCTTGTGCTTCGAGTACTGTCAGTGCATTATGATCAGCTACCTAGGCTCACCTCTCAAATGGTGCTTAAATTCAGTGCTAGGCAAGTGTAGTTAACTAAACCATGTTTGTTTTCTTCAGGGCTCTGATTGAAAGCCCGAAGTTGTCTAGTTGAGCAGAAACGTGACCTGGAAGCACCTGGCTGGCGACGCGAAGCGTACGCAAGTAAACCCATGCGACGGTTATAAAGAATCTCGTTCTTCATAACGTCTTCGAGGCTCCAATGACGACTCGGAATTTATTCCTCGGTAATAAAATTCCAGCCATCTCTTCGTTGAAGCGAAGGGGACTGCTTCGTCTACAACTGGTTTAGGCGGGAATTTGGGTTTTCCTGAGTTGAACAAAGATTAATGTACTGTTTAATTATTTTCTGTTTAATAGGACGTTGCTTAATACGACGGCAATAATAGCTTTATTATGGATTTCCGATTTGTGTTAATAGATGACGTTGCAATTGTAATGAAAGCTTAATAGGATAATTGGGCTTTTAAATTAAAGTAACATATCGTATCTGAACACCACACAGCTTAATGTAAAGATTAAATAGTTCACAATATTTTGTGATTTTATTTTCTAAATATACTTTTCCATCTATTTATTTATCTTTCGATTGATAGGTGGTTTTCGCTCAATATTAAGATTGAATCGATGTCGCTGTTTTCAACCTTTCATCGACAAACTTTTATATTATAAAATACTTAATTAGAAGGGTCACTAATCTCTGTTTAAAATTGATGAATTTCTCCAGTATGAGTCGAAAATAACGTTACTAATGAAGGAGCTCGAACTTTATTTAGAGCCCTCGTTAAAGGTGTGTTGAACGTTTCAATTTTAATTAGACCAACGACACCACAATGACCTTCGAGTACCTTTTAAGCAAGTCAAAAAGTGCATATTTGAAAGTTTGGCAATTCAATGTCTCGGTAATAACATATTGTATAACCAGTTTGGGAAGCATTAACGATACAAGGGATTCTAATAACTTCCTTAAAATCGATAGCATCCTATGACTTCTTTATATTCGTTGGTGTCTATGGTTGGAACCGAACCTAAGTAAACATGATAAACGTATGAGGTAAGTAACAAATCAACGTCATTGTGCTTTTTCATCGCAACCTCAATGACCCAGTAGGATTCAATAAGTGAAGTAACCTATTTCTAATTCAATCACAGAACCGTTCATATGTCAAACAAATAACCAGCACTTAGGACGCAGATACGTTCAAGCTTTTGTTAGTACTATCCGTCACAGCTGCGATTGTAGGTCTAGGCTGTTGATACACGTTGATACAGTCAGATCTGCAGAGCCATGCAAACAGAACGAGTTATTGAGTGACATATGTAGACCATGATGAATCAAATCTGCAGCTGCAACATATAGGTAAGCAGGCATAAATTCAGTGTGTGTGACGCTGTGCTGCAGGTGCAGTGGGTAGGCCTGTTGACCACTGTTCAGCGAGAGTGAGAATATCTGCATTATCCAGACACCTCTATACGCTTCTGTAGAATTTCTCTACTGGAATGTACAGGTTTTTTTACGCAAAATAGTCAACAGCTCCGATTCACTCATTAAGTCTAACTTTCACAACTCTCATCAGGTTGACATAGGGTTTGTCGATCTGCAATCAGGCTGGAAAGGACAACATGCTCATAACCGAGCTCTTTCGTGGTATTCGAACTCGTAAATAAAATTGGTGGAACCCTGTGTATGCACATAACAATTCTATGCAGAGCTCAAGTTCGTCTGCTTCTTTTGCTGGGGGTTGTGGTGACGTCCGAAAGCTGAGCTCTGATTTGACATGAAAGATAGTTGATAAACCTTAAAGCAAGCTGCCTTGAGGTATACCCTCTATCCTTCTAATCAGAACCAATTAGGCCTCGGTGTCCTTACGTCACCAGAACCCCTGAAAAAGAAGTAGACTAACTTGTACTCCAAATGGCGAACCCTGAGTATTTCATTATCGCTTCTCGGATAATCGGTTCCAGCAGTAGTCGATAAGAATGCCGAAGAACAAATTACGAAGCAATAAGCGTGCGCAAAAGCCACGCCCTGTTTCTTTTTAAGCTGTTACTATCATCAGTTTACGTAAATCCTTAAAATAAAACAACTTGACCGAGTGGTTTCATTTCAAGTGCCCGTGTTTGCTTTACAAACGGGTTTTCTGTTGGACAAAGGGACGGCATGGGTGGAGAGTTTCGTGGCTGCATCGAAGGACGAGTACCACACGGCCATCTATTTGTGAAAGTAGGCCACTGATTGTCGTGCCGTTGACGACACGCATCCTCTGCCATTGTTCAACAGCAGAATGTATTTAAAAAAAAAGTGTGTTTGCACGTTTCCGGGAGATTTTGTTGCGAGTCTCGAACAAAGATCGAAACTTTCGCGTGATTCAGCGTGTCCGTCCCTGTGCCGTAAACGCAAACATTTTAGTCTCGTTTTGATTTTTTCTTGGCCCTTCTTTGTTAGTGTTGCTTCATAGATTTTATTTGGGTGAAAATATAGCTTTCTATTACGTTGTGTTCGTCGCTGATTGCCTTTCACTTCAAACGCAACGATGAATGGACACCAACTGTGTTTTTTTGTAATACAATCTAGGTTCGTGTATGACATTCTAAAGAGTGGTGCTCTGGAACTGTGTAAGCGTAGATGAAATTTTTCTTGTGCGTCCTGTTGTATCGTGTTTTTTGTAATTTTTTTAATACGGTAAACTTTAATTTGTGGAAGACGCATAATCTCGTCGAAGGGAGGGGTGGCCCTATGGTTAGGAAGGAAAATTCACTTTCACGTACATCCTTAAACATCACCCCTTCCTCCCCCAAAAGCCAACTACTCCTTTATTGTATTCAACGGTATTGAGGCAAGTATGAAAATTACCCGGTTTAAAGCTTTCTTTGCCGCGTTATGACATATAAAACCTGCAAACTATATCATGGTGTACCCGACAATTGTTTGATATAGTTCGGTACAAGAAGTGTTGTTTGGGAGCTGTAGCAAGTGACTCTGATGGATGCCGCACCCGCCTTTCAGTCGTGTTTTTCCTTATCACTTGGTAAGTAATACGTCGAACACAATTATGTCGGAGCAAGAGACGATCCCTCACATGCCTTGGTAATATGTGTCAAATATTTTTTTCTAGTAAAATTATTATCGAACCCAGAAGATACCCTTTAGCTACGTAAAACATACTTCTCCAACGCAATTCAGTCAATTAAATAAATCTTCCAATCCTTTTCCAGTTTCGACTAAAATAATGATGCGTCTCTAAAAAGTGGAAATAAGAATGAGGACTCATTTTCATTGAAAACAGTTTCTTTATTACTGGCAGCAGCATTGCTAAGCCCATGACTGGCAAGAAAGCTGCACCAACGGAATATGAAGGAACGCAGGCTTCGTCGGAATATTTCCCACACAGCAGTTAGGCGAAAGTGCCGGAAAATTATTTTTCTTTTCTATTTGGTCTTTACTATTGGACCACCTCAAATTGACCTCGGTGTATTTTTATAGTGTGTGACAGTATGTATGTTAAAACAATTAACAGTGGCATCTTGCATGCACCGTAGCAATTCGTATTTTTAACGTTTTTACGTTTTATCATTCCGAGTATGCCCAAAAAAAGTAAAGTGCATTTGCACCTGTGTTCTGAAAATTTAAAAACAACTAGTGCCGGAATTGTCGTAAACTACCAAATTTTGTTTACCATTTACTTTCTAGGGTGCTAACCTTACCGACTTATGCATTCCAAATATATTAAAACCACAACTTCTGACCCTATGCACCCCCTTCAATTGAAAACATCAGATAAAATATTTATTTGCAGTGCGATTGATTGTTCGCGGGTTAATAGATGGGTTGAATACAGTGAGAGATAATCGGCCATGCTGGTTTCTTGAAGATTACTTTCCAAGTAGCTTTGTCTTTCTTATATATTCTCAAAAAAAAGAAAGCCATCAATAATTAACAACGATGTTATTGGTCTATGCCGCATAATTATGAGCGAACTTTGATCTTAACCTTGGCGAATTGCGAGAACACTTTGAGGCCTGGTGGGTCGCTGTGACTCATTAGCTGAAAGCAAGTATCAATGATTTAGTCTCAAATGTGATGCTAATCATTTTGGCCGCACTTTCTTTCGCTCTTTATATTTGGTGGTTGGTTTGAAATTTCGTTCCTCCCACCGTGTAGAAGTACTACATGCCTGTTAATTATGTAGGTGCTTCCAGAGTTGGTGAAGCATCCTCAACAAGTTAAACTTTTAACGAAGCAAAGTCAGAGACGTTTTAGTGCAGCTTAAACAATAATTGTCTGCACCGAGGTTTCTCATCACAAACTAGAAACACGAAGCACTGAACGTTTTTTTTTTTTTTTGTTCACCAGGCTGCACCGTTTTCGATTGTTTTATTTTCTTATGGAGAGTCTCATAGCCGAAGTTTCCATCAGTTTGGTTACCCGATCGTTGGCACTGAGGACACAACAATTGGTTGACTGACTGACTTGGGACACCTCAAAGTAGGTATTGGTAATACTAAAAAAAAAAATATCGACAATAAAGCGCACACTGCAATCCGCACCACACTTGACACCCCAATGGTAAGAGACAAAAGGCTGTTTCTCTCGGCCAGGGGGAGCGAGCGGGCCTTCAAGACCGACTCTGCTCAAGACGCAACCATGTAATGCTGGCTGCAGCGTCTGCAAAACTCTACCATAAAGGCGGCGCTGTAGCGTCCGATAATGTACGAGTAACGTTCGAACACAAGCATTTGTCGGCGTCTGTCTATGCGCCTATCATTGCGCCTAAAAATATATATATATATGCTGCTCGTGGGGCGTCAGCGTTCTCTGGAAATGCCAAAAACGCGTTCTTCTCACGTCAGCAACGTAGTGAAAGCGTAATGACACGCAACCAAAATACGCCCTAGAAATATTATGGGGAAACGAGAGCACGTACAGACGTCAGAACGCACCGCTCTGATTCGGATGATTAGTGGGTAGACCTAAAGCTAACAGCCTTTGTCTTCACTGCACTCGTCTAACGCGATAGAATGCGAAAGCTAAACGTTGGACGCCAGCATTCAGCACTCTAACCCATTCGACTAGTGTAGGGGAGACAAAGACTGCCTTTGTCTCCCGTCCACCCTCCACGAAAGCCGAACGCAAGTCGCTGGCGTTCCGCGTTTTAGCACGTTCGACGAGTGCAATGGAGACAGAGGCTGCTAGCTTTAGGTCTACCCACTAATCATTCAAATCAGGGCTCGGCGTTCTAGTGTTCCCGCGCGCACTTTTTAACTTCTATCCCTCAGTTTCTCGGCATATAGTTTGCTGGCCAGAGGCGCTGCTCAAAACTCCAGAGTTTCAGGTCTCGGTGCTCGCTCACTCAGACTTCGCCACACTCAAGTAGTCGTCTATCGGAAAGCCGAACATGAGAAAGTCTGGATAGTATATCCTGTACAGTTTCATCACCGTCGACTTTGGGAGCTGCGAGAAGAGCACCAGCGTCGCGTTATTCGTGTTGCTGGGGCCCTTGTTCTCCCACAGATTGAGCTCCTCTTTGGCACCTATCAATTCGTTCATCTTGTGCAGGTCGTCCAAGGTGCCGATGTAGTTATAATTCACCCAGCAGGGCTTGCACCTGTCGGAGTACAACTGCCAGTGAAGATCATAAGTGGCGGGTTCTGTGGTGAGGATTATATTCACAAATTCGGAGAACTTTATAACGTCCTTCTTCGTGTCGACCTTGCCCCCCCTTGCCTTCGCCATGGCCTTGTTCCAGTATTTGTAGTAGTAGTGGTCACCAGTCTTGGTGTTGCGTCGACCTTTGTCCAGGAAAAAGGACACCAGACGTTCGAACGGATGTCTAACAAACATTACCTTGAAGGTTTTGTTTATTGTGGACGCGTTAACGCGTTTCTGGTTCAATAGTCTCGGCAGACCCATTGCGGTTCTGATGTAGTAGTGCATCGAGTCATCGGTGTATTTTCCTATGTGGCGCTTGTCCAAACCGAGCAGAAACGTTTTGAGGCTAGTGTTGCCCACCTTCGGAATGGAGCAATAGAGCAGTCGTCGACCGTTCGCGGGGTTTGTCGCTAGGAGCAGGTGACCGTGCGTGCGGTAGATTTCTTCTAGCATGTCGTCCGCCGTCGTTGCCTTAAGATTGTGACGATGCTCGTAGATGCTGGGGAATGTCGTGCATATGCGTTGAGCTCGTTCTGCTAGAGGAATTCTAGTGGGGTTTGCTTCCGCTGCTGCTTCCCTGGGATTCACGATGTGTAGTTGCTTCCTGGATGTTGATTGTGCAGTTGAAGGCGTTAGCCGGATGAGCTCGCATACGGTTTGGTTGGCAAATGGGTTCCGTGGCCGCTGCGTTGCGAAGGCGTAGAGTTAATTTCACGTGATATTTTCTATTTAACCTTATTTTACGTAAACCCCTGGATATCTCAGTCATATTTTATGTGATGAAAAGTTAAAATAGGTCTAACGTGATAGAAGTAGGAGTTGTTTAAATATTGCTGGCTTGAAAGACTCGATTATGAGTAAATTGTCAATGTTCTCAAATTATGGATGTCATTATATTTTTTACCACAATGGGAGTATACCGATCCGCTAGAATTTTCCTAAATTAGATGTCTAAGCTGCCCGGAAGCAATATTTGAAAATACAGTCGACGGAAACGTAGATTCTCAGTTCCTGTTCTTTTTGTTGGGTATTGGTACAAGTATGCCGCTACAAATGGCCACGCATTTCTGAATGGTGTCTTCGTAAAGAATTCAAGGGATATATAAAGACATAGAATCGAAAGCGCGCGAGTTGAAACTTGGCGTTACGTAGTCACTAGTTCAAGAGCACAAGTTAATGAAGCTCAGGGAAAAAGCGTACGCTGCACATCACCAATGCATTGACTGCAGTGGTCTTCCTGGATGAGGCGGTCGGTACCTCGAGAAAGGCAACAAGATTTACTAGTTCTAAAAGCGGTCACTGTGCGGCGCTGTATGCGTTACGCACGTGAGTGGCTTGATTTTTTTTACGCATTTTTGAGGACAAAACGTAAAGTAATAAATAGGTGTCTCCTTACGTAATACTAAAATTGCCAGATAAGTACCCCCCCCCCCCCCCCCACTTACATTTTAATACTCAATTGTATGCAGTTAAGCCATCTCATCGAGAAAGATATGATTTTGGGTTACCCAATTTATATTCTTAGACATCACAAATTTAAAAAAAAAAAAGATATTTGGGCTTGCGGGTCAATTTAATAGAAAGAAATTCTTGCATATGCGCCAGCTGAAGACTGAGGATAAATTTGGACCACTTGTAGGTCTTTTGACGTACAACCGAAAGCTTCGCCATACCTCACAAGTCCCGGTTAGGGTGCACGTGCAACAACTTAGACGCAATCAAGATGGTGAAAATAAAACAACTCACTTACACTCACATGAACCAGAACGGACGTCATGAAGAACAAGATGCCAGTCGTGCACAACAAAAACAAAACAAAATGTCGCTGCAACACATGCATCATCACCGTCCTTCGCATCTTCCAGGCACACGAAGAACTTCAAACACCACCCATCGAGCGTGTGAGAGACCATTCCAAGCAGCCGATTTAGGCGTCAGCACCACCCACACCATCGGGCATAGCCAAAAGGCGCCTTTTGGTTCCTCATACCAATCTGCCTCACACTAGGCAGATCGGTAGACTGATAAAAAACTGTCTAATCATTTTGTGTAAAGGCGCGAGTTCGCAACGGCCGGCGCACAGTCAGCCCAAGCTTGAATGGAAACCGCGAGGGCACTCTCCGCTTGCATCTATTTGCTAGTGACAGCAATCACGACTTAGCATTATGCCGCCGAGCTTCACAGAGGCACGCATGTGCAGGGTTGTAAGAGGCCTTCCCTTTTCGAGCCGTGGGTACTGATTTACAAGAGGCCTGACACGTTGTATGCCGAGGCCGGGCGTTCATCACGAAGCGCCGCGTGAAACGTTTCTCGAGTGACGTGTTCGTTCGGACTTCTTTTTTAAAATTTATTTTGTCGTTTACTGTTTTTTTTTTCTTTACGCAGCAGGTTTTAATAAGCGTCTTCTTCGAATGTTTCTTGGAGGGTGGTGGTGAAATGTCGTGCGCATCAACGGAGTGAATGTGTCTCCGGTTTGCGCTCACAAGTTTCGGGCGAAGAAGGCCTGTGATATGGGCGTAGTATACTTTGACAAAATAGAGGTAGCGCTATACTCCGCTTCCCCTCAAGTCCACACATAGCCAACGCTACGATCGAACAAAGCCGAAAACGCAGGATCTCGGCTCATTGAGTGTGCGTGGTTCGGCTCGTCGGTTACGGGAAACGCGCGGAGGTGATTAAAGGCGTGACGATGCACTTTTGGAGCTGATTGATTGGCTGCATCGGATGCTAGTGTCGGCTTTGGTCGGATTCAAAGTGAAACTGGCTATGCGGAGAGCAAGTTCGTCTGCTCCTTGCGCAGGAGTTTCGGTGACGTCAGAACGACGCCGAGCTCCGATTGGCTATGATTGAAAGGAGAGTGGGTGGATTTGAAAGCCTTGAGGTCTACCCGCTATTGTGTTGTTCAATCAGCCAATAAGAGCTCGGCGTTCCGTTATCATCGCGACCCATGTCCAAGTAGCAGACGAACTTGCGCTTCGCATAGAGACGTGCTGGTGTACACTTTAAGAAAAGGTTGGTGAGTTCGCTTTTCTGCAGAACATGGAGAGAGCCAATCAGGCGAACAACAGAAGGATTTCCAGCGAACGACGAAGCTCATAATACGATTATACCAAGAAATGCAACCTGCACGGGGACAGTGAACATGTTCCATTTGCTCTTTCTTTTTTTGACTCTAGATATTGTATTTTTATATTTAATCGTAGCATCGTCATTTGCTGGTGTGATTGACTTTCTCCGTGTTCCATCGAAAAGTCAGCTCACGACGTGTTTTTAACAATGGAGCCTCGCTTATTAGACCAGGCACTTTTTAAGAGCTAGTTCACACACAAACGTTAAAGACATACCCGAAACCTTTTTTGTTTTTTGTAATCTCAGCTTTACTTATAAGGGCCTTCAAAAAACGTGGCTAACTGTATTTGCAATCTGTTTCAAAAGCAATTTCATGTCCGGTTGAATCAACTCAAATAAAAGTATGTTAAACATATTTTAAGCGAGTTACAGAAGTGTTGTAAGTTGGGCGAGTTGGTATGATGACATGATGAACAGATGGACTATGGGGCCAAGGCATTGTAGTTAAATGGTGTTGTGTCGCGTGTGACACGCATTGCGTGCCCTGTGCGTCTTTCAGAACGTCCTCTTCTTCTTCCTTTTGTGTATAAATTCAGTTGCTAGTCAGCGCTTGTCTGTCGTGCATGTTCTTTTCCTCTGTCCTTGTCTTTGTGTGCACTGTTCTGTTTATCGTGTTAAGTGAGTTAGTTCCTTTAGATCATAGCTACGTCACATAGCAATAGCGTGGTAACGTCAATACACTCCGTGCGACGCGACTGGCGCGCCGCCGCGCGGCCGGTACCGAAGGTAGGCAGTGAGCACCCCAGAGAAAACGAAACCGAAACCACGCCGCGTACGTTGGTACAGTACGCGTTGAAGTCGGAGTGGTGCTGTTGCGCTGGGTTCACAGCATGAAGTGCTGCCTGTGCTGCGTCATTAAGTGCTTCAATAGTTATGCGTCGTATCTCGTGGAGACAAAGTTTCACAGTTTTTCACCTCGCCGATGTTTTGTGGGACAGCGACCACGATGGAGCCGTGCCGTACGACGCGAGAAATTTGGTCTCCCGATCTTGTCTGCCACTGTCGGCACGGCTGACATATTCTACACTGCCGCTTTGCGCTCTGCGTTTGTTTTCGTACCAGTGACGCCTACATGTGTTAGCGCCGACGGGACGAACTGAAATGCCATCCCACACTCGCGGGTATGCAGTGCCCATTTAGTTGGAGGAAGAAGTATCGTCCTCGTTGTACGTGTCGATGATATTTCCGGACAAATATGGCACGCAATCTGTACTTCATGAAGAAAGATGCGAACGGTAAAAAAAGTGACAAATATAAATCTAAAGAAAACAACCATGAAACTCGGAATCACTGGAGAATCGGTGTTTGAGTATGGAAGTTTATGTGGTGTGCTTTCTTTCTTGATCAGCCTCCTTTTGGATGTGGAAACACTGACACCCCGAGTTCTGTAGACAACAATTTTTTTTTCCCGGCTTTAGAGCCACCTATCGCAAAGTGGTTCGAACTGGAAGTACCGTCCACTGGTCCCTTCCTACCTGTAAAATGTGCACCTCCCACGATGAGTGGTATTTTCTGACAGCCTTTGACGGTCAAAGCCAGTTCCCATTTAGTTACGCCGCCCAAACTAAATTTTCACCTGGTTTCCCTATGCCACCTTTTTTTTTGTATAATAAGTGCTGTGTCATGTTACTGTTGAGTCCAAGCACCTGTGTGCCCAAATCTGCACTTTGCACAGCCCGCTATAACACAACATTTTGGGTCCAATATTGGATATACTGTACAGCTGTATTTCTTTATTCGTTAGAAACAACTTTCACACCTGCTGTCTTAATGAAACTTGGCACACTTCGTGCAGAAACTTAGTGAACATCTCACTCGCCTCCAATATCATCGTTCTAGCAGTCCTACGTTTTCAGCGACGAGCGAAATAAATTTCCCACTCAAAACAATTATGGTGGCGGCAGTCTTGCTTTTCGGAAAATTGCTCCAACTCCTTTTTTGGCCGCAACTAGAGAAATTCCCCCGAATAGCGACTAAAACTCAATATATAAGAAGAGGAGAACAGCTAAATGTCCTTCTTAGGTCTGCCCCAGCGTTCATGCAACGTCACCCTCAACGTATCGGCTCAAAAAGCAAAAGTTTCGTCCGTGCGCGCTTCCGCCGCCACAGCTTGGCATGCGAAAAGGCGCCGCAGGCTGCTGAACGCGCCTCACAGTCGAACGCCAGCTCCTCCGCTAGCGGCGCTGCGCGCGTTTTTCAAAGCGCCCCCTATAGTTCCCGCACGGAGTGTATAGGCTTCACGACATTAGTTCCTGTGTTTAGCGCTAAATTGAAAATAAATCAGCTTCTTTCTAACGGCATCATTGATCAAAAGCTACAGTATC